TTCTGTTAAAAAATGCGTGCTGAGAAAACTGAAGGAAGGGGGATTTTAATCATGTCTAGTTCTATTATGCGTCCTTTTTTTCCCTTGTAAGTTTCCTTGCAGTTTATCCCAGTTAAGTGGATTGTTGGTTTATATTTTTTATCTTCTTGGTTGGGATTATCTTTGGTATATGGTCATTATAAATTTGAATACTGATGCTTTGGCTTGTCTGGTTTTTTACTCTAAATTTGTTCTCCTGGAAGGTTATATCTTCATCTTTTGTATTTTTATGGGGTCACCAGTCTGTCTGAGCTGAAAAGCATTTTACCTCTGGTGCAAAGAATGATATATTGATTTTTTGGATCATTTTTTTCAATCTTCATCATTCAATTGCAGTCCAAACAATCCATCTCTTTTAGGAATGAATGTGGGAGGTGGTGTGCACGTGAAGTTGAGACTTAGGAGGCCAAACAGAGATTGGGATTTCTTTCCTTATGATAAAATTCTTGACACGATGCTTCATGAGCTTTGCCATAATGTCCATGGTCCCCACAATGCCAGCTTCTACAAGCTTTGGGATGAACTCCGAAAGGTGCTTATATTTTTGGCTTTTAATTTTCATGCAGCATGTTGTGTTTTTGTAGAATTTTGCTTATTCCTTCTAAGCATGGATTTGAAATTTATTTGATCATGTTAATGAAGAATGGGTTATTCCTAAATAGATTAAAACTTATAAGATTAACATTGCTTAAAAGAGTTATGATGAACCATATTTCAATTTCAATCTGGCTGCTATCTGTAGCATTTTCTTTCAGGAGTATATTGCTGGTGAGCTATTTGCTTGGACCAAAGGTTGCGGCTTGTTAGATAATTAAGAAATTTTCTTTTATTTTATCTTTTAAATTTGCCCTGGCTTTGTGTTTCTCATTCGTTGATTTAGTTAAGGGTGGAGTAATCTGGAACACTGTCTTTGGAAAATTGACAGCCTTGATTCCAGCTTAGTAACTGTGACCAGAAAGAAGATAATTCATCTAGGTTGGGAAAGGTTGCGGCTTGTTAGATAATTGAGAAATTTTCTTTTATTTTATCTTTTAAATATGCTGTGGCTTTGTGTTTCTCATTCCTTGATTTAGTTAAGGGTGGAGTAATCTGGAACAGTCTTTGGAAAATCGAAAGCCTTGATTCCAACTAGTAACTGTGACCAGAAAGAAGATAATTCATCTAGGTTGGGAACTTTTCTGCTATGATGCTTCTGACGAATATGATGTATCCAACTGGATACAGGAATGTGAGGAGCTAATTGCCAAGGGAATAACAGGCTCAGGAAAGGGGTTTGATCTTCCAGGGCGACGTTTGGGTGGATTTTCACACCAGCCGCCTCCACCTCTTCGCCAAGCGGCAATAGCTGCTGCAGAGAATAGAGCACGTTTGGGATCTTTACTGCCATCTGGACCTAACCGTCTTGGAGGGGATAGCACCATAATGGCTGCACTTAGTCCAATACAAGCTGCTGCAATGGCTGCAGAAAGAAGATTACAAGATGATATTTGGTGTGGTTCTCATTCTTCTGAGTTTTCTGGCGATGAAGAAGGTTGCCCTGATAATTTTGAGGATCTTGTCAATATGGAACAAAATATTTCGAATTTGGGAGACAATGGTGCTTCTGGCGAGAATCGTTTGGATGCAAAATCACAAAAAAGAAATCACGGATCAGATACCAGGGATGATAGATTAAAATCGAATGTTATAGATTTAACAGAGGATGCTTTAAAGTCCAATTCTCTTGATCATGGTGCCAGTTCGCCCAAAAGGAGTTGTAAATCATATAATTCAGCGCCTAATCAACAGACATCTCAACCTGATCGTAGTTTTATGGATCTATCATCTGGTTCCACTTCCAGGTCTCCTCTTATGCAAAACGAAGTACAGAGCATGGAGAAATTTACTATGTGGGAGTGTGGAACATGCACTTTACTGAATCCAGTAAGCTTTTTCCGACTATCTATTTATCATGTCTTCTGTCCTCTGTATTTAACTCAGAGCTGTACTCGTGTTTGTGTATTCTTATTTTCTTTTGGATTTCAAGTTCAAATTGTTTGGCTGTTTGGCTGTTTGGTTTTTATATAGTGCGTATCAACTTTACACTGCTTGATTCAATTTTAGTTTCAGTTTTGGTCTATGTTTAGCTATGGTTTTAACTGCATCTCTTCTCTGGTGCAGCCATTAGCTCCAGTTTGTGAGCTATGTAGTGCGGCGAGACCCAAAAACATTTCTATCAAGTACAAAATCTGGTCTTGTAAGTTCTGCACTCTGGAGAACAGTGTGAAGTTGGATAAATGCTCAGCTTGCGGTCAATGGAGATATTCACATGGTGCGCCTGTATCGACCCGAGGTCCCAATCTCGGCACGTGACTGATACAATCATGGGATTCCATGAGCTGCCATCTCTTCGTGGTGGGTATGACTTTTTTGGTTTTGTTTAGCCAACTGAAGTAAAGATAGAGCAGATTCATAACTCAGGCAATCAAAACCATCATACCATCTGCTCCAAATGACCATGACTACATAGTTCTAAGCCTGTTATAAACTATTGCGGAGCTTTATATCATTTCTTCATGTGATTAGTTTGGGATGTTCAGCAGTGCTTAGTTTTAATGCTTTTCTCGCTCAAATTATTTCAATCATCGCGGTAGAAAAAGATAATTTTTAGCGAAGAATAAAAAAAAAAAAAAGGTTCATTCTCAAAAACCGTATAAGATTGACGGTAAATTCATTTGCGAAAACAGTAAGTAGCTTTTGAAGATCAAGAAGGTAGTGAAAGGAAGCCATGTACGAAGAAGGGAAGAGACTTGCTTCAACTGCAAAATGTCTTAATGTGGTAAGTAATGAATATCTCTTATATTCTTAATATAAATAAATATCTCTGTTTATATATGTGTATGTAGTGATTGAAGTAGTATACGGCTGTTTCGCCTATATGTTATTCTATACCAAATTTTTGGATCACATTATTACTTGCAAATATAATGTATGGTTTGGGGATTGAAATTTGAATAGTTTTGGAATATGTATTTATTCTACACCGTATGATGTATGGTTTTACAATATCTCATATTATGACCAATAAACAATTATTTTTCTCATAAAATTAGAGTAATCTATTTAACTTAATTATGATTATTTTTGATAATCCCATACTGCTTAAAGTGACTTTTTAAGATTTAAAATATTTTATTTAGAAAATAGTTAACAAAAAATAAATTCTAAATATAATTCAAATAATGTACGCTTAAAATTATCAAAATTTAATAAAAAAAAGTAGCATGTGTTGTTTTCGTTTTACTGAATTTATCAAGTGAGTTTTTATTTTTATAATTGAAGTAAAATATATTTCTAAATAAATTAAATACAAATAATATATCCCACCCACCTATTAAATGCGAAAGCCCGAGGGCCCATGGACCCAATGCCGTGCCAGAATGAGTGATGGTGGACTCAGCCTCTATACAATAATAAATTTAATTTAATTATAAAATTATTTATTTATTTATTTAATTATTTTTTAGATTTTCTTTCTCTTCTCTCACTATTCATTTCATCATCATCAGCTGCATGCCAAACTTCTGCAGCTGCCCGGGCATCCGTGGAGTGATCTTTCCCTCCTGCCTCTCGCTTCTTCTCTCCCCTCACCTTCCTCAATCTCTCTCTCTCTCTCTCTCTCTCTCTCTCTTCCTTGGGCCAGATGCCAGAACGCGTGCAAAATTTTCTCTCTCTCTTGAACACTTCGTAGCCACCATCACCATCTTCGGTTTGATCTCTAATATTTGCAAAGTTCCGTTTTTTGTGTCCTAGATTGTCGCTTGTGGTCTAAACTGAGATGCCCATTTTGCTCTCTTGATGATTCCCTTAGTTAACTCAGTCAGAGCTGTATCTTGGTGCCTCCTGGTTCTTTCAGGCTTGGATCTTAGTTTCCTTGGCTTCGTTTCTTATCTGCTTGCAGATCTTCAAACCGTAGCATTTACTGAGTTCTGTTCTGTTTTCTCTAGTTCCCTTTTCTTCTTTGGCAGAGTTCTGTGAGTTTGAGCTGAAAAATCCATGGGGGCTTTTTTCTGTTAAATCAATTTGTGTAATTTTTTTTTTTTTATAATATATACCTGGATTAGATGGAAAATTACCCCTTTGGTTGTTTCCGACGGTGGTGATTTTGAAGGGCAAATAAATCTGTTGATGATGATACATTGAAGACTACTAACTTCTTTTTGGTCCATCTATGGCTATGGAACTAGGGTTCTTGTTTTTCTTCTAGATGATCGGACAATTTTTGTGGACTTTAGTCTGTTTCTGTGAAATAGCAAGTTGTTGTTTGTTTCAGTTATCCTACTTTCCGGACAGGGAAAATCATTAGTGTCCCTTTTTTAGGTTATAATGTGTTCATATAGTCTAGCTATCTTCCCTTAGTATTACAAGATTCTTACTTCTTAGGAAATTAGTATCAACAGTGTCGATTAAACCTATTGCAAGTTCTACCGCGTTTTTGTGTTATGTAAATAAGTATCATTGTGGCTTTCCGGTGTGCTGCAAAACCCCTCTTGGTGCTCTATCATGGCTGGCATTGATCACAGTTTTGTAGAGTGGAAAGAACAATTCATTTCGCAGGAGCGGGGTAACCGTGTAGTTCATTATTTCTTGAAGGATTCTTCGGGTGAATCCATCCTTGCAGTGGTGGGCACTGAGAGGAGTGTTAGGCACATGTTCTATGTTGTTTCAGAGGAGTTTGTGAAAGTTTATGGTGACAAAAATTCCATTCATGCTGGTTTCAAGTGGAGGTCGAGGAGAGAGGTTGTGGATTGGCTTACTTCTATGCTATCAAAACAGCATATGCAGGGCGATCAGTCCAGTATGTGTTCCTTCTCTCGAATATCGTTTTGTTCTTAATGTTTTTTCTGTCAATGTTAATATAATCAACCCTTTTGTGAATTGTCTTTGGACAAAAAAGTGATATATGAAGGCAAGACAATACTCTGATACTTTTATTAAGAGTCTTCTGCATTCATTAATCATATAATATATTTACACTAATCATGACATATTGTAAATAATCTTAAAATAAAGACATCCACAGGAGTACAATCTGACTCAAACATAGAACTTTGTGTAGAGGAAGTGACGTACCAATCATCAAACAAAACAATGATTGGTTATTAAGAATCTTTATGAAATTTGATGTACTTGATCTTTTTCTGTAGTCACCAATATCAATCTGTTAAATTACAAATTAAACTTCACTTGTAAAAGACAAACTTCACCTTGTTAAGACCTATTTATGATTTACTGTATCAGGTGTTATTCATGCATAAATCAGATCCTGCATACTTGCATGGTTCTTGTTGGTAGACATGTCAATTGTTAGCATTTGTTCTTATCTATGTCACAACTGTTTGTGTTCTGTAGTTATAACTCTGAGGTATTATCAATATTTTGATATGCTAACCTGGATATTGGACCAATAATTTATTGAGCTACCTTTCTGAAAATTAATATGCTTATTTTTATTTTCAATGCAGATTTGCCAAAAGGGGATACAGTGCAATCAGTAGAGTCTTTTGAGTGCCCAATGAATGGGGTCCTCACTCAACAAACTCGACTGGCAGATAATATGGTACCTAATGTTTTTTTTCGGCAGATAATATGGTACCTAATGTTTTTTTCCTTCCTTTTTCTCTTGTCCTTTGCAATTTTCTCACTCTTTCTTGTCATCTGCAATAATTTAAAGGGTCGTCTTCCACGAAAATTGAATGGACATAATTCAGAAATTGTCTGGTCAGGCACTCCGTGGATGTGTAGTAAACAACTCAAGCATTACCCTGCATTTTGCAGAAATGGGACAAAAATAGCGGTAAGAATCTACTAATGGTTAAGAGGAAGTTAACAAGTTATTTGCATCCTTAACTGAGTGACATGAAAGCTTTGGTATTTCCTAGTGTGTTTGTCTTTATATTTCAAAAAAAAAAAAAAAAAAAAGAAAAAAGAAATATTCCCCGCAGGCTTGCACTGTAATGGAACTAAGCAATACATAATACAACCTTGTAGACCAAAGGTGCCTCTATGAAAACATCCTAGACACATATGAAAGTGCACATCATGCTGTTTGTCTTAAAGATTGATTACATGGAAGTTAAGAAGAAATAGATTTTTAGTTGCAATAATGTAAACTTGCTAATAAAATGCGGATAATCCACAGTTGAATTAATTCAAGTTAGAATTGTGTCGTGGAGATTTTGGTGGTTAATACATAATTGCCACATCACATAATAGCATGAAATTATTTCAAAAAAACTTTTATTTAATTATTTCAAAAAAAAAAACATAATAGCATGAATGTATGGTTTACCTTGATTGACATGTTGAAACCCTTAGTCTTAGGACTTTCAGAAAAAAAAAGTTATCTATATGTTCTTCTTGAGGATCTAGAGTTGTTTGCCATGGTCTAAAATGTTATTTTTCCTTAAGGAATCATTTTCATCCAATGTTATTCTAGTGTATTGTTTTCTTTGATTTCA